CCGATGCAGCAGGCACAGCATGCCCATCCGATGCAGCAGGCACAGCATGCCCATTTGATGCTACAGGCCAGCGTGCCCATCCGATGCTGCAGGCATGGCGTGCCCATCCGATGCAGCAAGCACAGCATGCCCATTTGATGCTACAGGCCAGTGTGCCCATCCGATGCTGCAGGCACAGCGTGCCCATCCAATGCAGCAGGCACAACATGCCCATCCAATGCTGCAGGCACAGCGTGCCCATCCGATGCAGCAGGCCAGCGTGCCCATCCGATGCTGCAGGCACAGCGTGCCCATCCAATGCTGCAGGCACGGCGTGCCCATCCGATGCTGCAGGCACAGCGTGCCCATCCGATGCAGCAGGCACAGCATGCCCATCCGATGCTGGGAACGGATGAGCAGGCTGTCGAAGGACCAGGGTCTTGGCAGTAGTGACGCCGCAGCATTAGAAACGGGTCTAGGCAGCAGAGACCGTGGCTGTGACAGGTGACACCCGGGACTGACACACCACTGCCTCCTCCTCCTCCTGAGGTCTCTCCTGTGCTTCTCTGGGGGATCTTTTTGTCTTCCCTGCTGTGCCCAAGGGCCGGGCATGAGGGGAGGCTCTCCTGCCTAAGGAGGTTAGCCAACCTGCCCAAGGTCACAGAGCTGCAGAGGTCAGCATGGCAGTGGGACTTCGCTCTTGTTTCCTGGGACTTGTTTTCTGCCAGACAGTCATGCCCTTTAGGGTGTCCTAGGAGCAGGGTTCACAGTGTTCCCTTACATCCGGATTTCTGAGATGACTAATGCTGCAGGCTGGATTGGACACTTGTGTGTTTGGCTCTTCTGTTTAGGGGACAGGGACAGGGGGCCTGAGCTGGACTGTGGAGGAGTTGTCCACAGTCCACACCCTCTGGGAGCATTTGAGCTGGTCAGGGAGCTTATGGGAAGGGTATTATGGCCTGGGCACCAGAGATGGCTTCCTAGAGGGGTTGTCTCAAGCTGGGTCTTGAAGAGCTCTGTGTGTGTGTGTGTGTGTGTGTGTGTGTGTGTGTGTGTGTGTGTGTGTGCTAACAATGCATATAGGCAGGCGGGGGTAGAATTGTGAGTGTACGTGGCAGTCATTGAGTCAAATCCTGGAGAGGAGCTGGCCCCATGGACCTCTCTTGGTACGGTGTATTTGGGACAAGCAGAGGCAGGACAGGGTAGAGTGGTGCTTAGCGCTTCTGGGACTATCTGGGTTTGAGACTGGAACTCAATCAGGAGCCAGCTCCGGAGGACGATGCCGAACCTTCCACACAAAGCTGCTACCTAAGTTCCCAGGGGTCTTAGTGGCAGCTGTGGCCCAGCCCTCCCAGTCTGTGACGTCTGTGAGAGTCTGGGTGTTTGGCTGTGGGGGTTTGCTATGGCCCCCGTCTGAGCCCACACTCTGCTTGGACTCTGCCTGCAGTGCTGCTACCCGGGAGAGGCCTGGCTGCTGTCCTGAGGATGCTCCCCATGTTCCACGATGAAGGGTACGCCCGGGCCCACCACCTGCCCGAGGACACGCTGGTGCTGCCGTGAGTACACATTCTTTGGGGTTCTGAGGCAGGGATGGTGTGCAGGTGACCTGGGGTTGAGAGGGTGGGCAGGCCCTGCCAGAGCCAGGGGGCTCGGCCTCTGGTGTCCTGGGGCCTCCCCGTGAGCCATGTGCACGAGACATCTCTGACACTTCCTGAGTCCCTGGACTTCAGAATTGGCCTTCACCTTGAAGTGGAGGTGGACACGTACACTGCGGCGTGCCTGGGACTCAGCTCACTGTTCACCTTGCCACCTCTGCTCCCCACTAAGCTGAGCCCGCAGGGGCCGGAGTAGAGGAAGCTCTAACAGGTGTGGTGAGGACACCCCTGTCCAGGCACCAAAGCTATCAAAAGAGCCTGGGTGGCCTCTCCCTCTTCAGCGTGGCTGTTTCGTGTGTCCTCCCTGCCCCCAGCTACCTTATGCCCTTCGTGGCCGAGGGAGGTAGATCTCTGCTCTGCATGAGCTGGTCTGAACTGGTGTAAGGAATGACACTGCTCTTAGCCAGCCTGCCTGCCCCTTGGAGATGCACGCAGTCGCTGTCCCTGAGACCTCCCGGTGGAAGGGAGGCTGGGCTTGTACACAGGATGTGAGACTTGCCTGGGAGGTGGAGCCCAACCACGCTTATCACAAGCCCCTTCAACATGTGTGGGGTGGGGGGGAGTCCTTGCCAGGCACAGCCCCAACCACACCCCAATGCCTTGCTCCCTACTCCATAGCCCCGCCCACGCTTTAGCCCCATCCAAGATGCCATAGCCCCGCCCATATCCCAGTGCCCCCTACTCCATAGCCCCGCCCATATCCCAGTGCCCCCTACTCCATAGCCCCGCCCATATCCCAGTGCCCCCTACTCCATAGCCCCGCCCACACCCTAGCTGGGGAGGGCAGTGGAGGTGGGACTTTGGATCAGGAGAAAGGCAGAATGGGAGACAGGTTCTGCCTCCTGCAGCCCGGCCAGTCCTGACCAGAGGATCCTCTACACGGTGCTGGAGTGCCAGCCACTCTTCGACTCCAGTGACATGACCATCACTGAGTGGGTTCAGATTGCCCAAACCATAGAGGTAGAGGGTGGGCGTGTGGGCAGGGCAGAGTGTGGGACTGCGGCAGGGCTGTGTGCCGTGGAGGGTGGGGCTGTGGAGTGTGGGTGGGGCCCGAAGGCTGCGTGGGACTGGAAGGTGAGACTGTGGCCCGTGGGCACAGGAGGAGCTGGGGTATGGGGAGGGTAAGGTGTGGAGGGGGCTGAATGTGGGGGGGTCTGGGGGGGACAGGGCAGGATCCCTGCAGAAGCACTGGACAAGTGAGTAACTATGGGCTTGTGGTCGAGTCTGTCTGTCACCTGCAGAGACCTGGCAGTAGCCTGCAGGGCAGCCTCAGGAAAGTGCTGGGTCCTGGGCCACACACTGCACAGTCCGAGGCCCCTTCTGTAATACAAGCGGAGGCGGGTCGCTCATACTATTGACCGTTTCCAGTTAGTATGGAGGTAGGACATGTGGGGGCTGACTGGCTTTGTGGGCCTGGCCCACCCCCAAACTTGCAACCTTAGAGTTGCCTCTCGGTGGATTTAGCATCAGAACCTCCATCGCAGTGTCTGGTTCTGGTCGTGTAGCATCAAGGGCAGCTGCTTTACCCCGGAGCTGCCCCTCTGTGGCTTTCCTCTTCTCCCACGGTCCCAGACCTAGCTCCCGGGTGCAGGTCCAGCCACAGTGTTCTGACTTACCTCCCTTGAGAAGCCCCTGCCACTCTGAATCGGGCAATCCGGGCTCCACATTCTCCAACCAGCCCCAACAGCCATGAGCTGCCCGTTTCAGGAAGCAGGCCATTAGTGGGCTCTCCCAGACTAGGTTGTGGTGGCCCGGGGAAGTCTTCCTCACTTGTAACTGACAGGGTCTCCAGGCTAGGTCCAGATGGTGCTCCTCTGTCATGAAGCAGGATAGGTCACATCTTCCCGGCACTCACTCAACTGCCTGGAGCTCTTCATGGCTGGGAAGCTAAGCGGCCGTACCTCCTATGGCCAGCAGAGGGCACACTGCTCCACGAGACTTCCCAGTTCCTCTGTTCCGTCTTTCAGGGAGTCAGGAGGTTGTGGCAGGAGCCTCTTAGCCCTCAGAACTGCGGTCTTAGCAGCCACAACTTTGGCTAGCACGCCACCAGGAAGTGATGGGTAGAGGTGTCCAGCATGCCAGTTTGCTCCTGAGAGGCACCAGCTGGAAGTCTGGAGAGCTGTTCCTGGCAGTGTGCAGAGTCCCTGGGACCCACATGCCCTCGTTCTTGAAAGCAGGCTACAGGGGACTCCAGGCAGAGTCTAGCCTTCCAGAGAGGGCCTACAGGGGAGATGAAGTAGTACCACACCAGGCCCTCTGCCAGCATCCCAGGCCTTTCCTCTTTCTCATGGCCTGTGAGGAGATATCTGCCCACAGCCATGTTCCCGGGAGAAGGCCTGTGGTGGGGAGACCTGGTCCGCCCTGAGCTCATCCTTCCCAACAGAGACACTACACCCAGTACCAGGGCTTTGTGGTCATCCACGGCACGGACACCATGGCCTTCGCCGCCTCGGTGCTTTCTTTCATGCTGGAAAACCTGCAGAAACCTGTCATCCTCACCGGTGCCCAGGTAACGTGTCCCACGGCTCTCGGTCCTCAGAGAACTCCAGGGGCCACAGAGCCAGACCTTGGCCAGCCCTAGGCTTCTTGCTCGGGACACCGGTTTCCAGGCCTGTGCCTGCCGTGTGCTGCCAACGAGGGTGTCCGGACACTTGAGGTGGTGCCCTGCCTGGCCATTTCACTCCTGATGATCTCCTACCAACCCCTGTGGCTGGGGACCCACGGGCTCCTGGAGGGCTTATCCATTGCGGCCTTCAGAGTGCCCAGAGCCTCGCCCCTAACGCGGGGCTTTCTTCCCTCCTTCTTCTCTCTGTCGGGCTTCATGTCTGCCACCCACCCCCACCACCTAATAGTCAGCATGGTAGACGCACATAGAGCAGTATGTGGGGGAGACCCCCTCACCCCCCCCTGTTCCTCTTCTCTCTGATGCTGTCCCTGGCACCCCTCACATATGACATCCCGTCCTCTCGCCCTAACCTGGTGCCCCTTCCCCCCAAACCAAGGTCAGTGGAAGGCTGTGGAAATGGCTCTGTTTGAGCGAAGGCTGACTTGGGCTTCGGTTGCTTATGGGTGACCGTTAGAGCGATCCTACCCAGGCCCTTCAGAATCCCTCAGGGGGCCTGTGTACAAGAATCCAGCATTGGGGTCCCTTTGAGCACAATCTGGGGGGAGCCCCACCAGGCTGGAGTGGTGGCTCAGCTGTCCCCATGGGGAGACTTCTTGCCGGAGTGCCAGGTGCTGTCAGGAGTGGTGGCTCCGTTGCCCTGGCTCAGTCTCTCCCATTTCCCAGAAAACCACAGTACAATCGCCCTACTCTGAGAAGGTCCATGACAGAGCATCCCTGACCTTTATTCTTCCCAGGGGGAAACTGAGGCCCAGTGTTCATAGGTTCTCCCATCCTTGGGCACCATAGGAGGAACCTCCCTCCAGAGGCCCTGACAACTGACTGGCCATTCTTCGGCCAGAGTCTCTTGAATATCTTGGCCTCCGCATATCCTACAGCAGTCCCGCCCACTGTGTCCTCGCGGGCACTGCTCAGCCACTCCAGGCCTGGCCTGTGGTGTACTTAGGCAGTGGAGGGACAAGCCCCTGCATGCCTCAGGAAGGACGTGCCATCGCGGCCCACCCAGCTGCCTCCCTGGGCCCCCTGCCCGGCTCACAGCTCTGGGGGGGTAGTGAGGGAGTTGCCCTTGGAGACATCTGGACTGGGGGCCAGAACTGGGCCTGGGTGCCTGCCGGTCACTTCATTTCTGTGGAAGCCCGATGGAGAGGTCAAGGTGCCCAGGGTGGTTTGAGACCATCAGGAGGAATGCCAGTGGTTACCAGCCTTGGGAGTTGGGGAACTCTCCCCAGACCCCACTCCCCAGCCCATGCCTGCCTCAACTCCTCTCCCTGCCTGGGCCTCAGGGGTTTGCCTAGAGTCGGGGAGCTGGGTGTGTCCTGGCTTCTCAGGTCCCAGCCACCTCTCCGGCCTCTCCCCAGGTACCTATCCATGCACTGTGGAGCGATGGCCGTGAGAACCTGCTGGGGGCCCTGCTCATGGCTGGCCAATACATCATTCCTGAGGTATCCGGCCTGGCTACATGAGTGGCCTGGGTGGAGGGTGGGATGGTGAATGCCAGAAAGCTTGTGGTTATGGCACATGTTGGGGCCCATAGGCCAGAGGTTGGAACAGTCTTTAAACATGTGTCCCTCACCTGGAATTGATAAAACCAAGGAAAGAAAGCTCTCCCCGACCGACATTCTTGTCAGCAGCCAGGTTGTCTTTCTTCCTTCCCCTTTCTTTCTTTTTTTCTGAGACAGGGTTTCTCTGTGTAATAGTCCTGCTTGTCCTGGATCCTGCTTTGTAGACCAGGCTGGCCTCGAACTCACAGAGATTCTCCTGCCTCTGCCTCCCGAGTGCTGGGATTAAAGGCGTGCGCCACCACCGCCCAGCCAGCAGCCAGGTTTTATGTTGTAGATATTCTACACTTGTGTTACACACACACACACACACACACACACACACACACACACACACACACACACACACGTCCATGAAAATGGGCTGTGCCTGCCTTAGGTTATGGAGTCTGTTGTGTCCCTCCTCGGGGGCTCCCTGTCTCACCTGGTGGAACAGGAAGAAAGACAGGCCTGTCTCTCACAGGCCAGGCCGGGAGTCACTTGGTCTTTAGCAGTCTCTGGAGATGGGTGGTGTTAGGGTTAGGCGTTATGAAAGAGCAACAGGCAGGTCAAAGGTGGCCCCCAACCTCCTTCACCCCAGGGGAGGCTCTGGAGACACTGGCTCCTCGTCCATGTGGTCTGAGGTCACCAGCAGCTGTGGAAAAGCCCTGGCTGGACAACCAGGGCCTCCTGCAGCCATGTGTCCATCCAGTGCCCAGGCTCTGAGGGCCCCAGCGGACGGGGGCCTTCACTGGGTAGTATTGGCAGGAAGGGCCCTGCCTGCTGGTTACCTTCGAGGTTTGGTGTGTTCATGGTGGGGCTGGGGAGGGCTGGAGGATGTCAGGGGACCCGCTCTGAGTTGCTGTCTTGCCCTCCACAGGTCTGCCTGTTCTTCCAGAATCAGCTCTTTCGGGGCAATCGGACCACCAAGGTGGACGCCCGGAGGTTTGCGGCCTTCTGCTCCCCCAACCTCCCGCCTCTGGCCACTGTGGGTGCAGATGTCACAAGTAAGCGGGTCTGAAAGTGGGGTCTGCTGGCTGGGAGGGAGGGAGGGGCTGAGGTCTTGTGTGGAGGCGAGAAACCTCTGTGGTGAACGTGAGCTCAGAGCTGGGGGGTCTGGCTCTTGCGGGTGCTGTCCCACCGCATGACCCCCCGCTGAGGAGCTCCCCTCTGTGACGGTTCTGCTGCCCACACTGCTCCTTCTCAGAACCTAGCCTTTTGTGGTATAACATAGCTCTCAGGAGTCAGTCCCAGGAGGTCCCGGTCCTGGAGCTCCCATGGGGCCTAGGAACTCCTTACTTTAAGTGTGGGTGGCCTCTGATGCCATTCAGGCCTTAACTCTAGTGGCCCCCCAGCTTCTCCATGTTGGATATATATGCTAAGGGCTGCTGTCTCTCTGAAACCAGGGCAACTGCCTCCTGGTCCTTCAGGCCTGTCCTATCCGGGTGTAGAGGAGGCTTGAACAGCCATCTGATCCTGGGGCAGGTACACCACTGCCCACTGGTGCCTGGTTCTTGAGCAGCCGGACCTACCTAGTAATTGAGATGCAGGCCTAGGTTCTGGTCTGTGGGGTTCTAGCCCAAGGCCTGTCTTGAGGAGGCTTTGGGAGGGCCAAGCTTCCATCTGGGAGTCTTGCACCCAGTAGGGCTGGGCTCCATGGGCACAGTCAGGTCGGGCTGCTAGTCTAGAGCCAAAACAGCTCTTCTCATCTGACAGGACGAGATGATTGGCAGTGCCCCAGCCCTCCAGGAGGGTGGAGGCAGCTCTCACCCACTCTGTGCTTCTGCCTGGGCATAGCAGGTCCTGTGGGTGGGACACAGCGCTGCTGGGACCTGCAGGCTCTTGGTCTTCTTCCTGTGTATCAGAAGCTGTCCCAGGTTCAGGAGGAGCAGAACCTGGAGAGGGCAGGGCCACTTCGTGAAAGCCTCCTCTTTCCCCTCTCAGACTGAACTCCAGGGGCTCAGCTCATCTGGGTTCCCACCTGCATGCTTTTTCCCGCCATTCACCCAGAATCTTCTAGGCAGTGAACAACCCCAAGCCTGCGCCCCAGGGACTCTGGGGGTGGCAGAGGTCCACTTGTCATCTGGGGTCTAGACCTGTTGAAGCCTTGTTGGAAGAGCCTGCATGAGATGGTGTCGTGGTGGTCTGGCTGTTAGCCCACGCTGGCTGGGGGCACTAGTGGCCGGGGAGCAGGAGCCGTGAATATGGGCCCCGCCCCAAAGCTCTCCAAGCCTGAGTCACTCCTTACCTGGGCTCAGGGTTGGAGCGTCTCCTGTGGGCAGAGAGGCCTTCACCCTGAATCTAAAAACCTCTGCCGTGCTGGGACACTGGGGTGCAAGCCTGGCCCAGCAGTAGCTTCCCTAGCCCATAGCTGAGGCTCGCCCCCAGTGCCAGCCCAATACCCTGATGTACCCTCCTGCGTGTGTGGGTGTGTGGGAACCCGCGCCTCGCCTTCTTGCTATTGTCAGGCTGCTCAGCCGGTTCTGACATCTCATGTTGGGAAATCTGGGGTTCAGGGCGTGGCTGAGGAGGGCTGCTGGGGCTCGTGCCAGCTATCCCCAGGACAGAGCCCTGATGATCTATGTGGTGTGGGCCTCCGGCAGGCTGCTGCTGACTCCTCATTGACCCTCTAAGACATGAGGGGAGCAGGGGACCATCCCCGGTGACAGACGAGATAGAGACTGTAGCTGCCCAGTCTGCTCTGCTCTGGCAAAGGGACACGGCGCCCTGGGGACGGCACCCTGGGGACGGCGAGGTCTTGCTGGCCTTGCTCATTCCTATGTATCTATGTCATCCCCCCCCTGCCCCTCGTCCTTACGCCCAGCTCCTTCCTTCAGCTCTGCCTCTGCTGGGAAACCCTCCCAGCCCACCAGAGAGAGCAGAGGTCCAGAGGGAGGGCTCACCCCTGCTGATCCTGTTGCCCACTAGCTTGGGGTCTTACGCCACGCCTTTGACACACAGACACATGGAACTCGGTGCCCTCCCTGTACATGGGAGCCCCCTGCCTCCCAGAAGCAGCTGGGCCACCTTGGACCCTCAGGCTAAGGGCAGACTTGACTACCAGGTTAGGTCTGTCAGCCCGGAACACAGCGGGGCTGTTAGAGGGCTGGGGTGGCAGCCAGGTTGAGTCACTGCTGCCTTTATGTGCCCAGAGTCCCTGTGGGAAGGACTTCGGGATTCTAAGGAGAGACTTCCCGGCTCATGAGGAGGGTGGCTGTTCATAGGGTGGTCCTTTGTCTCTGTGCAACCCTCCTCCGCAGCCATAACTCTTCTGGTGGCAATCACCCCCCACCCCCTGCCTTATCTGTCGGCACAGCCGAGGTGCCTAAATTACAGGACATCTCACGCTCCCAGTGTGTCAGCGGACAGACGCTGTAGCTGGAAGGGTGGGCAGTTGGCTGCTTGAGGACCCTGCTCCGTCTCCTGCCTCTCTCCCTCCCTCCCTCCCTCCCTCCCTCCCTCCCTCCCT